GAGATCTGTGTTAAAGCTGGGGGGAGTTCTTAGTCTTTAAAAGAACATTTTTCTGCTCCTATTTTCTATCGGCTTTTGCATTGGTTACCAATAGTTTCTGTAGGGCAAATGTATCAAGAGCTGCATTTCTCAGGTAAAAACCATGAAGTAAAAACTATTGCAATATTTACCAGAAGGAAGGAGTTGTTCAGTCCCTTCACCTTTCACTTGTACAAGTTTCCCGCCAATATCAAAGCTGATAATACACCTTTATTTTGGTTCCTTTGTAGGGCATTTTGCAGATGCTGACCTTCTGAATGGATCAGGGATCCATTACAGTTTTTATTTCTTTCATCAGTATATTCAAACACTGTAGAAAATGTATACTCAATTTACCTAAAACTCCTCTTTGATTAAATAGCATCAGCAACAGAGATGATGACTCCAAAGATGAATAGCTTTTTATGGTCTAAGGGGAACATGCCTAGGAAGATGGCCTTCAGCTTGTTTGTAGGTTTGCAGCAGTGAATCAGAGAAACAAAGCTACAAGGGGTTTGACTACACCCCTATTTGCTTTTCAGGGACAAATTTGTTAGCTTAAATTTAGCCTGCGGAAAATGTGGCCAAGATTTGCCTTAGCCAAAAATATGCCCCTTCCTTGCCTATGTAATGTTACACTGATTTGAAGGTTTTCTTAGCTATAGAGTGCTACAGATCAAAATACAAACCTAATCATTAGAAAAAAATCAAAATTAAAAAATTAGTATTCCCACACATAAGGAAGATGTGCTGGCTTAGTTAAATAAGGCACAACTGGTATTATTTAATTAAAATCTAGAGTGCAGCTGTTAGGGGAGAATCTAGCCAGTTTCAGATAGAAAAATATGCCCTAATAATGTGTTTCAACATCATTTTGATGCTAAACTCAAGAGTATGGTAGGTGTGAATGTTTTGCATACGCATGCATACGTATACATACACATCTGTGTCTCTGACAGAGGGGGAAAAGACAAATGTGTTCAAATACGTTTTCTGTATTGAGGGAAACTATAAATAAAACTAGACTTATGTGAGCCAGCAACCAGGAGGCTCTGAGGATGCACAGTGTGTGCTTAGAGGGTGAGGACAAGGAGAAGTGATGCTGGGAGCTGCTTTGCCTGTGTGCATGAGTTTGAGTTTTCTGTCTTTGTCCACCCAGAAAATGTCTTTGCTTTGTTTGCTGACAGAATTGTAAATATGTGGGGTTTTTTCAGTTTTCTCCAAGAATTATAAAGATGCATTTATTTTCTTTAAAGAATAATTATTAGTTAATTGCATTTCTGCTGTATCTAAACTTCCTGGCTAACATCTTGTTTTGCTACCTAAAGCAGAATATTTCAGCTTTTCAGAGAAATAATTGTATGTATTAATCTGGCAAAAAAAATAGCAACTTTTGGAAGATGTTTCTGAGAAACAAGGTAGTTATGTAAACCAAGGAAAGAGAAACACAACACTGGGGGAAGTTTTGCTGCCATTATTATTATTAATTATTATTATTATTTACAGTAACTATTTATACAGCACTGTAATTTTGCATGACATTCTTCAAAGAGTCCAAAAGGCAAGCAGTGAGACCCAGAGTACACTGTGCTGCACATACCTGTAACCATACCCTGCTACACATAGTATCTGACTGAGTAAGAGCTGGGAAAACTAAACTAAGCTACTTTTCTCCCCATTCCTGGGTTGGCAATCCAGGTTTCTGAAGCTGTGTCTTATCATGTCCTTGCTAGATTCCCTTTGCAGGGCAAGAGATTTTTAAGCAAGACCTCACAATCCAAGGTTTTCTCAGAGAAATTGATCTGTTTTTCCTTCTGCTCTCTTGAGCAGTGCAAAGCTGCCAGAGAGAGGGCTGAAAATCAGGCCTTGTGGTAGCTGTCACAGGGAGCTTGCAGTGTGCAACAGAAAGATGTAGAAAAGGACAAAGTGGAGCAAAAGGAGAAGCAGGCAAAGAGGTTAAGCTCTAAAATAAGTTAAGATCATTTTACACATTACACCTTCAGTTGGAACAGTACCATCCACATGTGATGAAAAAGGGTCTTGATGGTATTTTGACGACAACATTCTTTTATTTCTGTTCATGAAATAATTGACATCTGCAGAGTTTTACTCTCCATGTAATATTTGTCCAGAATAGGTATGGGTTTCCTAAGATTTTCTTCTCTCTCTGTTATTTTACAGCTTCTGTACAGCAATTGTTTGGTCATTAAGAGCAAATAGTTCACCTTTTCATAGTTCACCCTTTGTGAGTGAAATTCACTTCATTTTGAAATAGTTTTCATTTGTCAAGAGATAGTGGTGGATGCTCTGCTTTTCCTACATCCACAGTTCCCATGTAGAACCTTTGGGTAGGAATTCCAGACTTTTTCCTCCACAAGTTGCTATCAAAGAATATGCAAAATCACTAGGGTAGCTAGCATGCCAAAAGCAGAAAGCAAGGTAAAATGGCCTATCAGAGGTAACCTGAGGGGGGAGTTGAGACAGGGAATATTTGAAGCAGAGAAAGGTATCTCTTACTCCATTGACGCAGATTCAAGTCTGAATATCTCAAAGATGAGAGTGAAGGGGGAAAAATTCAAGCCACAAAGTCTGGGGTTTTTTCAGTAGTTTTAGTCCATACAAAACAGCAATGTTTAATGAGAGAACTAAAGACCAGAGGAGAGAGGGGAACCTGGAGAAAGAGAAAAGTGAGGCAGGAGGGCCAGGTCAGTGCTAAATGGGATCAGGGCACAGGAGGAGAGAGCTGGCCTAACAACTGCCCAAGTGGGCATGGTGCAGGAAACTTGCCCTCCACACTCTTCCCCAATCATACTGTTTTTCCTGCTCTCATCTGTAACACCTGGAAAAAGAAGCATTACAGCTCCTGTTCTGTCCTGCCTGCCTGTATGCCCTCAGGGATTTTGAACCACAAGGAATCCACATGTTGTTTGGAGCCATTGAACTGTGCAGGGTAGGCTGCCACCAGGAGCTCCTTGGGCTCTTCCTAGCGTGCCTACTGTGCCTCCTGCTCCTCCCAGGCACAGTGAACTGAGCTGAAGAGCCTGAATGCTGAATATGTTTGTTCTTGACAATTTAAATTAGACCCTTATATTTAAGGCATGTTTTTCTATTTTATCTACTGCCTGAATCTCAGATGCTGAAATATTCACAAAGCTCTTCATTCTTTGGGGAGCAAGACATGGATTTTCCCCAGTGGCACAGTGATAGCTTCTGATCCGCCAGCCTCCCGCTGCCCACTGTCATTGCAGCTCACAGTCAGTGAGTGGCCCGAGGAATAGCTGGCACTCAAGGACCCCCCTCCAGTGCCCATAACTCTGAAACTACATGACATCTTAACCTTTATGAAATTTCTTCAAGACAGCATTTTAAAACACCCAAATCTTTCTTGACCTTTACATTTTAGTAGAGGGGGTTTGTTTTGTTATTTTTTTAAATTGATGTTCCTATATTTATTTTCTTTAGCTGTGGCATTTTAAACTGGTTCAAGAGGAACTTTGCTTTTCCCTTCCCATCCTTGTTGAGCCAAATCATTAATCATAAAGGGAAAGCACTCCAGACTCAAGCCTAACTTTATAATGTTTTTGTATTTGTGACATTTTATCTCTCTCAGCCAGTGGGAAGTTCTTATCCTTTTAATTTGTAATCTGTTAGGTTTCAGTTGGACTGTAGATGCTGACTTCCTTTGTGGCATCTCATCCTCATTCTCACCTGTTTAACCAGGCTGTGGCTTGGTGATTGTGTATCGGATGTACAGATGATTCAGGGACTCACCCAAGGGGATCAGTGATGGGTGCCCTGGATCATCAGGAAGCTGACCCCTTTTCATATGTGGGGAATCAAGATATCTTCAAGAGAAAGCTAACAGTTCAATTTTACAGTAATACACTGCCTAAATCTAGAATAAATCTGTTGAGTACTTCAGCAAAGCTAATAGTGCAAAGCTGACACAAGCGAGGAATCAGTCCTGGCATTTTTACACAAACTGCAAATATTTGTAAAGGAAAACTGGAAACTCAAAAGCATTACAGTTTTTTTTCTATGCCACTTGTTCTTGTTACTGTAAGTAGAAGCTCTGTATCCTGCAGCACACAGCACTCTCCTATAAGACCTCTCTTTTTGGATAGGGAAAACTTTCCACATTTGTATCTAGTCATTACCTAATACAATCTCATCAAATCTTTCATGATATCAGGCAATTACAACACTCAAGGCTCAGAGACTAAATACTCTCTAGTGGTCCTTTTGGATTTGTTTGTATAGTGTGGTTCTGTTGCAACTGAGAATACAGACACAGCTTTGTAGGCACAAAGATGAGTTCTGCTAAGCCTGTGTAAGTCCCTGCTCTTTAGCCCAAAAAAACTGAAGGTCAGTTCAAAGCTGCTTGTTGAGGGAAACTAATCCTGCAAACAGTACACTCACTGGCCATTATTTCCAAATCCAAACTATCTTATAGTCATGAAATGGAAAGTTTATGGGGAAAACAAATGCTGCATTTATTACTGTGATGCAACATTCATAAAATATATTTCATTGGGGGGGAGTTTACACAGGGGGTAATGAGATTTTTCCTTTATACATTATTTACAACTGCTTAATCCAGGTGCTGTAGGTTATTTTTTTATCCCTCAGTTTCACAGCTACAAAACACTTCAGTATTTCTAATTTATTTCTGCTTACAATACAGATGTTCTCAATTGTGTCTCTAACTACATTTCAACTGTTATGATCACTTTTATTTGTTTGTGTCACTGTACACTTAGAGGTTGAATGTGCACTATACAATAGTCAGGTTCCAAGAAGGCTGTAAAAAGCCTCTGGTGATTTAGTTACCAACAAATTAAACTATGCCTAACGGTAATATCTTTATCATTAGAGGTTTTAATCTTCAGATGATTTCCTTGCTGTTTATATTGCTCTGTGCATGGGCTCTTATATCTTCACATAAAGGTTTCATCCTTTTAAACAGCATTTTTCAAGATGACCATTTGGAAACAACATTTGGAGGAACATTTGGATTGCATCCTCTAACTAAATTTCCAAGCTGTTGGTAACGGACTAAAGAAAATGTGGTCTGCACTGAATACTAAAGAGCTGCAAATGTAAGAGCCTTGAAGGTTATGTGTAAATATTGACTTTTTTATTTTATTTAGCATACAAAAATGAACTTGCAATGTTGCTTATCTGATCATACAGCAGTGACTGCATCTGCATCATCTGAGATGTATTCCTCACACTTCTGACTTTCATAGGTGTTCCAGAGTTTTCCCTCAGGATGTTATTGATGTCCCTGATTAGAGAACAGATATCTGGGGACTATGTGTCCATATAGGAACATGTCAACCAAGAGGCAACAAATGGAAGCAGAAAAAAAATCCTTTCATCTTCAAAGGCCATGTTCTATGTGTCAATATGGGTCCCAATAAAACCATTAAGGTTCTTTCCTGAGATGTGTAATGGGACTTTAGGGCACTCAGCATCCAGCAAAACAAGGTCTTTGGTTCATCCTGGAAGAAGCACAGAAAAATAACTGTAACATTACATATACCCCAGCTGTTCTTTACATTTAGCCATACTGTCCTTTCCCTTTGAATGTGAATCTGTTGTCATTACTTTTTAACCAGAGGTTTCTGTGAAAAACTCAGGGTCTTTTTATTTACATGCTTTTTTTCTTAAAACACTGAAAATGCACTGATGTGCCGATAACAAAGCTTGCAGTTTTTCAAGGCTGTTTTTTATACTAAATTAATTTATATGTTAAGTACTAAGATGGTCACCACACAGTTTGTAATTCCAGGGCATGAAACATAAGGGCTCCACAATATCCCCCTTAAAATCTACTCACAAAACCATGAAATCTTTGCTGTTCACATGACAGATTTGGCTAACTGCTTCATTAATGGTACTACAGTCACCAAAAATCCACAGTAATGATTTGAGAACACATTAGTTCTCTCCCTGGACAGCCTAACCTGAACACCAACACTATCAGGAATTTTTCTGAAGTATGTGGTTCTCCTTTTTAGTACTCCTAGTTCCTGCATGAAACCCTGACATGCTGTTTACTTCAGCTGGCTGCCTCTTGTGCTCCTCTGGGGGTGTCTTGAAGATTATTTTTTTTTTTTGTATTTCCACATGTGAGAGATGGATTTAATAAATTGCAGAATCATAAACTGCGTTAAGAGAGTGGGAGGAAGAACAGTAACTTCTTTGTGCTACATAGAGTCTATGTAATTTACATAAATATTGCCTATTTCTTTAGCAGATAGAGTAATTAAGAAATGACCAGCATGGCTTTTGGTCACCCTCCGTGTTCTTCTATAAACAAATTGAATTTAATATATTCTTCCTTTCACTTATTTGCTAAAAACTTCTGACTCTCCCAGTCACCTGTTTTTATTGGTGATAGTGGTGAGCCTTACCAAGAGGTGCAGTACTTGCCTACAGAGCTACTTTGCACAAATCAGAGTTTGTCCCTGACCCACATGTCTTGAAGAAAGCCAGGCATCAAGGTAATGAGGCCAGCATGCATTTGGCAGGTCATGCACAGTATGGAGAATGCACGTTATTTGTCCTTTTAAATTCGTTTTTCTCTGCCTTGCAATAGAATAAGTAGTCTCATTCTGTAGCAGTCAAACCTTCTGAGAAGGCTCCTTCTGTGCTTCCAGAGTAGTCCCATAGTGGCAGTGGGGCACTGTGGAAATAAAAGACAAGAGACATATGCCAAGGATGATGCGTGTTCTGGAAGGGATGAACCCGTGTCCCTCACCCCCAAATATGACCAAGGGTGATCCTGTGGTGGCTGGTAAGTAAATGTGTCTATCTATCCAGTTTGTGCCTTCTAGCTGGGCTCATGGAAAGGTTGCATTGCAGAACTGAGAGGGAAATGTCCTGTGCCAGCCAGATGAGTGACAGTGCTAGAGTATTATTGAATGATCTGGGATTGTCTAACCTAAGCAAGTGTCTTAAAGAAGATAATATGGCTTTTCAACTACGTGAGAAACACTGCTCCAAAGAAAAGGGTATCAAGGAAATCCTTTCATATCTTCCTGAGGAAAGTAAGTGCCAACAGGCTTCAGTTATGGTAAGAAAGATGTCAGTTAATCTTTAGTAAATACTTGTTATTCCAGTAGGAATCTGGTGGCATACAGCAGTAGATCAGGAAGGCACAGGGTCCTTGTCACTGGACGTCTTTATGAATAGGCTAGACAGTATCTGAAAGTAATGACAAAGGTGTAACAGAGCCTTTATTGACCTTGTGTGCCTTGCCAACACAGAGTGGTCAACTGAAAGCCAGTGAGCACCTAGTGAGTAAAATCTAGCAAGAAACACATAGATTTAGGTCACTTTTGCCACTAGGACTTAGGATTAGGCAGGAGGCAGTGAATCCCTTGTGCATTTTGACAATGGGAATCTCCCTCAGCTTTGGAAGCAGATTTTTGTCAACTCAAAACACTTTTCCCTTGCCAAACCCATATACTACCTTCATCTTATCTAGAGAAAGCTTCAGCCAACTGGCTTTCATCCATGTCTTATCTCTGCCAGACACAAGGAAGCTGCAACATATGGCTTCAATGAAAAGGAGACGTAGAGCTTGGTGTCATCAGGATATTGATGACATTGTAGCCGATGCCATTTCACAATATCCTCAAGTGGTTTCATATGGGTTTTGAATAAGAACAGTAACAGCAGTGAACCCTCTGGTACTTTAAAATGTGAGTTCTGGGAGAGAAAAAACATTTATCCATGCTTTTGGGATCTTCTTGACAGAAATTGTCAGAACACTTCAAAGACTTTCTTCTCTCCTGTCAGCCATTTTGCCTCAAAAGCAATGTGAAACAGCAACAGGAAGCAGACATAATGTCTGGACTTTGGTCTGACTCAGATGCAGTGGCAAAGCACAGGAAGAATTAGCAATATTAAGTTAAAATAATGTATTACATATAATGTATTATATGTATAATAATATACATATTACAGTATATGTATGTATGTATGTGGGTCTGATGAAGTCATGTATCCATACCACAACAGAAATTTCCTACCTTTGCTGCAAAATTGCTAATGTCACCAGTCTAAATCTGCAATATGACTATTAAGTGGAAGAATAAACTTTTTTGTAGTTTAGGAATTTGAGTCTCAAGAGCTATAAAATTAGAACATTCAGTACAGCTGATTGTCTGCAGAGGTCTCTCATTGAGACCCGCCTTAATAGATCACAAGACGGACAGGTATTTTCTTAGTTGGTTTAATCAACCAGTAAAAGTAACAGGTGAAGTGATGTGACCCTGGTGTGAAAAAGGGAAGTTAGATCCCACTGATGAAATGGGGGAAGAAGATATAGAATCTCACATCAGTATTAGCAGTTACTGTGTAGGCAGATGTGTCTTTTCCCCCAGGCTCACATCCATCTGGAGTTCCAACCTGCACTGTGCCAAACAATATTAAGTTAAATGCCCAGCCATTTTGTTTGGAGTGAATCACTGGTATCCATCTTTGGTTGGTACACAGATTTGCTAATAGCAATGGTATCCAGTCTTTGCTTCTTATTTAAAAAACATGTCTGTGTATTATTCATATGTCACATTCTCTGTCATCAGTGATGACAAAACTGCACTGATATATATATATATATATATATGCCTATCACATGCCTCAGCTATGATAATAGAAATAAAATAAATACTCCGGAATCTAGTTAGCTCAGCTTCCTCAACCATTTCAACATAACCACAGGGAGGGTGTCCTAGAGGCCGCAGATGCTCCACTGGAAGACTTTTCAAAATAAAGCCTTATTAGTAAGGCCATCTGACTTTTCTTCCTTCCCTACTGCGATATTTGGTGAATAAGACATAAACCATTCCAGTGAAATGTTCAGGCCTGAAAAATGGTGCATTTTGCACCAGAACCATGGAGGCTGACAGGTGCCTGGGCAGAGAAGGAGATAGATGAGTAAGGTGTTGAAGCTGGCCCACCATCATCCCTCTGTTACAGAGAGAAAGGGAGTTCTACGTACAGGAATTGATGTAGGGTAGATGTGAAGCAAAGGAGTGAAATCCATCTTGTTTTCTTCTAAGAGATGCCAGCTGAGCTGAAGTGATGCTGTGCAGTAGATTGAAATGAAAACATGCAGCTTGTGATAAGCTGACAGGAGCTGGACTGAGCATAAATAGCTTAGAAACATCAGTGGATAAAGGCAAAGCTTGTGCTTTTGTGTTTTGAAAGGACATATTTGCTATGCTTTGCTTTTTAGAATATAACACATTGTGTTAATACCAGCAACTGTATTTATAACACCTTATGCTTCCCATGTGTCAAATTTTTGTCCTTATATATGCATGTTCTCATTTTTTGAGCTATGGAACCATTATAATTATCGTTAGAACTTTGTGACCGAGGATGTGAGACTTCCTCAGCATGACTAACTGTTTTCTCAAGACGTCCTGGCTGCAGTGGTGTAACTGTGCTGACATTTGCACAGATGGGCAGATGGTACCTGGGACATGTCTGGTTGCAGTGCAGACCTGAAGATCCTAGATGAAGAAGCCAAGCCGCTGTGTTTTGGCCTGATTTATAAGACTGCTTCTCAGCAAATGTAGCCTGTGTTATCCTTTCTGCTAATGGAAAAAATGGTGAGCCACAGCAAAACAAACCCACAGCTAAAACATATGTTTTGGCCAAGGGTCATAACCATTTATATCAGAAATCTCTGTGTGTTAGTTCTATACCAACTAAAACATTTAATGTCCTCAGGTAATACAGAAGAGGGCAAACATCCACAAGTCTGATTGACTATGGGAGGTTGTAAGATATATCACAATTGGTAAATTGTGTTTGAAAACCATGCAGGATGAGAACAAAATGGTGTAACTGGGAAATATTCTTCTAGAAGTGGAATCTGAATTTTGATTTCTCATTATGTGGAATAGTTTCCTCACTCTCAAGAGAAAGGTTTTGCATCAAAGAAGCCAGCAGATGTTTTTAGGTTCACAATCCTTCAGATAGAAGAAAAAGGAGAGTAGGCATGGCATGCTTTGGCATTCATGGGACAACAAACAGATTCAGTGAAATCTTGCAGTTTCCTAATTTCAATTCCGAGAATAAATCACATCATTTTTTACAGATAACTGGCTAATGTCCACTAGCTGCTGACAAGAATTTTCTGTCCTACTTTGTGATTGACAGCTAAGTAATTTTGGATGGATTTGAGCTGAGGGAGTTGTTGTGGTCTCGCCTCCTGCATCTTGGTGCCAAGTTTCTTTGCAGCTTTGCTACCAACTTCCTGCTATGAACTTTTGTGTTCAACATCCATTATTTCACTTGAACCTGTTTGGGAAAAACTCATCATTGTAACACCGTTTTAGGAGTGGCTTTTCATGGATACAGCTAATGGAATTTGTGCAGTAAAATGCTGCTACTGAAGTCCTCTGATAAACCACACAGACTAGAAAATTACTGATGTAGGGTATAAGTGGATAGGATGCCAAATGTTATCATGTGTTTGAAACTGGTTTATGCATATACCACTCTATTTTTTTAAACAGTCCAGAGAATTACAGAAGCCTTCCACAAATATAGCTCTCTGCTGTAAGCACTGACATTATAACGAGTTTTTATATTTTTTTTCTCTCCTCTGTACTCATGTAGTCCTGGAAGAGCTCCATGGACTTCAAAAGCCGAGGCAATATTGCAATTATATAGAATTAGAATGCATTTTCTTTAGCAAAGAGATTAAGTAATGTAACAAAACCAATGAACCAAGGCCAGCTGTGGTGTAAACAGTGATTTTACTTCTTGAGCCAAATTCTTAAATGGTGGAAATGAACCTGCTGTGTTCTAACAAACCCTTTTTTTATCTCCTTTATGTCAGTAGCATAGACCAAAGGGTTGGAGTGGCAGCAAAAAAAACCCTATTTAATATCTTATATGTGGCAAAACTCTTCTACTGCATGTGTTCTTTGTTGCTGCTTTTCTTGCTGCATGCCCATTTCTGCACCTAGTGACGTGGAAACTGAACATGGCCAAAGACTGACTATACTTACAACAAGATCCATATATAAAAGGGCATTTGAATTAGTCATCACTTTGCCTATAGATTTCAGAAGTTTAGATCCCCAGCTAAGGCAGATGTAAACTTCTTTGAAGTATAAAGGTAGCTCAGGCAGGTGGGTTCAACAAGTTTTGTGTAGTAACTGGGAGCAAAGCACTGAGATAAACAGTTATGTGCTGATTCTTGTGATTAGGCCAGAAAAGCTCTCTCAGTGTTGTTGTCCTGTGCTGCAGAGATATATCTTGTAATTAAGGACTGAGTGTTTAAGGCTTTGAACACACACTTCTGTAATGAGACATCTAACAGGTGGGATTGCTGTGCCTGCAACCAGGTTTCTGTGGCTTCCTGGGATCAGCAAATATCTGTATGATGCCTGGGGAGCAAATTCTCAGCTGCTGAAGCCCCACAATTGTAAGTTGGTGTTGTTCAGGACTGTGGAGGAGTCCTGGCTCATTCCCATTCTGGAAGCAATGACTAGGAGCTGCCCTGAACCTCACATTGTCACATGTCATTGCACTGTTGTGTGCCAAAGGGTGAAGTAAGCAACACAGAGGGCATCTGGAAAGAGAGAAGACAGGAGAAACTCAGTTTGGCAGATGCTGGAGCACAGCAGGCTTCCAGCAGTTTATTTTGAGTGTATTTGTTTGCTAAATAACCATGCTTTACTGCAGTGGAGTATCTTCAGCTTCATACTTTGCTGTCATTATTAAAGACCAAAGTGGACAGCAGTTATTTGAACATGGTGGTGTTCCTGA